ATCCCGTAAGCTCCCAAATCACCAAGTCCTAAGATTCGTTCCCCATCTGTCACCACAATAGCCTGAATTGGACCAACTAAGCAGCGAGCTTGTGTATATAATTTGAAAATAAACCTGAATATTTTGTTCTGGCCAATTGCTCAAAATTTTGTAGATCTTGCTGACGCTGTTGTCGTTAATCGTGATATAGAGACCTCTTTAAATGTTTTTCTTACTATTGGACAGAAGATAAATGAGATTTAGGAAATTCACTTTGGGTGACGATAAACTTCTCCAAATCTCTGACAAGCCAATCCTACAGTTGGAGTATAAACGATTGGCATTAATTCCTTGACATTTTCGCAAAGTACACGATAGAAGAGCTTTTCCGTACGGGATTGCAGCTCGTCCAAGATGATGTACCTGCATAAGAAAACTAAATTTTTGACATATCCTTAGCTCATACAACAATATCAAAATTCCCATATCGGAAAAATAGTAAGTCCGTATTTTTCCTAACCTACCAAATCACAATTTATATAATTTATTTACATTAGTTGTGAAGATGTTAAAGCGGCGCGGTCGCACCTGTTACTACCAGTATTCGTGCAAATGCACTTAAGGAAAACAGTGTGTTAAAAGTCAGTTGCGAAATATTCGGCGCGCTGCGCAGCACCCAACTTCCGCCACTTTGTGAGGAAGGGCTATATATGGCTATAAAATCCAGATAGAAAAAATAGGGGTGCTGATCGACTTTTGGGTCCAACTGCGAACTGGTTAAGGGTTTTTTTCTCCACGTTTTACTTAGAACGGATGCATGAATGTCAACAAGCCACGTGGTAGAAAAAAAAAAAGAGAAAAATTTTGTTTACTGCTGTTCCGCCATGTTTTGATTCTTTTTCGATACCTATGACGCAAGTTTGTCATGTGAAAAAGTTGACTCTATTTTTGATTGTTTTGTTTTCTACAAGGGTGAACCGATACATGACTTTTAAGGGCTGTTTCGCACAAAATTTAACAAAACCACCAAAGGTTATCTTTTTAGAAAATTTTTATGTAGCTCATGTGAGAATTTGCAAAGTTCAAACGACGTCACTGGTTTATAACTGGGACAAATATTATTGTATTTTATGCAGGAGGTTGCACAATCTATGACGAATAGGGGGAGTAGTAAGGTAACCTTCACCGTCTTACCATGAACTTACCGTAACGTTTTATGGAGTTGAAGGGATGTAAAGAAAATCCATCACTCTCAATTTAAAAAGTAAGGCTGACATTGGCAATGTCATATGTTTGCAAAAAAAGTTTGTTAAGCAGAGCGCCAAAAGACATACTTTTGCAAATCATCCTTCTCATTTCTAATACGTCTCAAAATACGATACACTTGTTGTTCCTGACTCATGAATGCAGGTGGAAGAAGGCCGTGAATTCCAAGATACTGCCTTTCTTTCAACGAAAAAGCCATTCCCTATAATCAATAGTTCTTTTTTTT